TGGATCTGCTTCATGAACACGTCTCTGGAATATCAGCAGTGACAGTCGGCACACTGACTCATGGGAAGTGCAGTTCATAAACATTTATTTACTAACCATAAATATGAACAATTCAGAGACGCACAATGCTCAGTAATGTCATCACCTTTATTAATATTAAAAGCAGTCCAACAGTTTGAGACAAAGACATGAAAGGAGGCCGTTACAGTCCAGTGTCTGTGGCGTGTTCTGAGATCACCAGGAGGCATCGTCACCACCTCCAAACGTGTCGCTGCAGATTCAGTAGTACTGACAGGTTTAGAGTTAGAAAACCAAGTTCACTGTAAAATAGTTATTATCAAAAACATTACTGATCCCTTTGTGAGTAGAAAAGAACTCTGTGGAGCTCCGGGGGACACTTGATAACCACCGTGACGAGGAAAACAATGTAGTTAGCACATTAATACAAGTACATGCTGTGAGCCAATCAAATCACTTTAAATCAAGGAAACACTGAGCACATGAGCTCGTTTGGTGAACGACGTCTGTTTTCATTCAAGTCACAGGTGTCGAACTCCAGGCCTCAAGGGCCGGCGTCCTGCAGGTTTTAGATGTTATATTGATCCAACACAGCTGATTTAAAGGCTAAATCACCTGAACATGTCCTGAAGGCCTGGTAATGAACTGATCATGTGATTCAGGTGTGTTGACCCAGGGTGAGATCTAAAACCTGCAGGACACCGGCCCTCGAGGCCTGGAGTTGGACACCCCTGATTCAAGTGAAAAACGCTGGGTATGAAACAGGAGGATGATTATTTTCACCAAACTTCACTCAGTGTTTAAGCAAAGATGTGGAACGAGACGGCGCGTGACGTCACGTCGGGACAGAGACGGCGCGTGACGTCGCGTCAGGACAAACCAACGAGTATAATCAGAGTGACACCTGAAAACAGCACAAGTGTAAAACATGCCTCGTTTATTCACATGTGACGGAGCGAGGAACTGTCCAACAACACAAACTTTCATTAAACGTCTCTGTCCTTCATCAATAGTTACTGTAACTGAACAGGTCGTTTTTATTGTTTTTAGAATCGTTTTCTTGTCTTTGTATCCAAAGCTGCGACTTCACTGAGCAACAGTATCAGGGTTTGTTTTGGGCGGAGTCACGTGTAGCTTTGTTTTTGAGCCCAGCTGGAGCCTCAGATCAGCTGTTCTAGTTTGTGATGCAAACTGAAATGTGCTAACATTTTCTAAATAATTTTCCTTGACTGTAGTTTCACAGATGATATCAAACAGACAAGAACAAAGTGGTGTCACAGTTTTGAAATCTAAAGCTGAAAAGTGGAGGTTTGGGCTGCAGCCATGTTAGGAGCCACAGCTTCTATAGACGAGAGGGTGGAGGCCAGTGTCAGCCAGTGCTGTTAGCTTCGTTAGTAGGATCCATAAAATAAACAGATAAAACACCAGAACTGTCTGCAGCACACGGTAACCAACAACAACCGTTCTAAACGTG